TGCTGCTTGTATATCATGTGTATGGACTCCTCAGATATAAGTCAACAAGACCATTTCTGTGCTGTTGTCTAGTCCCCATTATTTGCACACACTAATCAAATTTAAACCATTTTCAGATACAGTGATTGAACAAGTTATTGCGTTAGAATGTTGTTCTTTTAATGACAAATGCAATTGTGCTATTGCCATGAATATATGAAGAAATACTCTGAACTGCTTTGGCTTCCAGTTGTCCCTTTGCAAAGTAATCTTTGTGCTACATGTGGGATGGCAAATGTTTCTATAATACAGCCCCTGACTCCTTTAATTATGGCTTATTACCCTGTGAAGGAAAAAAAAAGCAACTAAAGCTCTTAAATACCATATTAATGACAGCTATAACTGTAGATATTACCTTAGCAGTTCTGTAATGGAGTCTGGTATGCTGAATGAAAGTCCACAATTTCCTAAAAATATACTGCTGTAACTATGAAAGAGACACAGGTGGGAGAAAATAGGCTTTGTTGACAACTTGTGTCTGACAAATGTTAAAACCCAATTCCTGAGAAATTCTCAGTTGGTTATAAATCAGGCATTAGAGAAACTTTGCTCCCTTGAGACAACTGCCAATTTTTTGCTCTGGATATAGATACAATTCCTTAAAGACAAAATGTGTTTACAACCTGTAAGATACTTGCTATTTTTAATAATGATTCTCAACAAGCTAACAAATATTTTTTGTTTATATTAGAAAGTGTTTTTATGTCTGTGTGGTTTTTTGTGTGTCCATGCATGTGAACGTAACCTTTGCACATATTATGCAACCTGTGGGGGCCACAATAGGTGGTATTCAAGTCATGTAATTAATTAAGTCCAGGGCACCCTGAGGCACAAGTCCAAGGGCATGCACACATCAACCTTTCTAAAACTGGATCAGTAGTTTACAACACTGACACGCCTAAGCAAGAGACCGACATTAACCTTGTGATAGATTTAAATCATTCCAGGCAGTCTGTTTTGAATTTCCAAATGTGCCGTACTGTTCTAATGAGTTAATTCATTTGGTATCCATTTCCTCCTGTCAGCTGCTTTTGGAAAATAAATTGTGCATTGTTATCTTAGCCTTGTCTATCCTATTAATGGTTTAGGAAATGCAGCTGAAGATTATCTGTAGTTTTCTGTGGCAGAGTTTGACCTGTGACAATGTAATGATCAATCACATCTTGAAGGAGTCAGAAACAGTGAAATCGTTATTCATTTTTTTTTCTGTCTGCAGAGCAGTTTTAAAAAAAAAAAATGTTTTCCACCATTTGTGCAGAGGGGTAAAAACAAAAGTGTTGTCCATAATTTTTGAACAATGTCCATTTCAGTGTTTAAATGTCATCCACCCAAAGAAGGTGGATATAGCAATAAACAACATATTCCACATTTCTCAGCAGTACATTAGAAGTCTTCTCTGTTGCCCTCTTGTTTGGTGTTAGTGATTATCTTGGCAATACCTGGATAGTTTCTGGTGTTTTGGGGTGCTGTATTAGGCTGGGTGTGAGTGGGGATGGATGCAGTTTTCCCAGCCCACAGCATCTGGCAGTGCCAGACCCACAAAAGAGCGGTGTCCCTGGTGTTCCCCAAATGCTCATCTCCTTCAGTTCCATGGTACAGCTTTCACCTGTCAAATCCTGTCCCCTGCTTCTCAACACATGTTAAAGATGGAAGTACTTTTATCCTCTAACTTACTCTAGAGAGAGTCACTGATTTTAATTGGTCCTGCCTGAGTTCAGAAAATAAAGCTACCCAGGGTGTCTCTGATTCCTGTTGAAGAGCTAGAAAAACTTCCAAAAGAGACAATTCCTGTCTATTAAGTTATTAGTTGGCAACAGTACCCTTCCCTGCTCTTTCTAATCATACCACCACTTCCAAATACTCACAGTTTTTCCTTACACATCTTCCTCAGTTTCCTAGCAAGCATATCAAATCTGCTATTCTATGATTATTCCAGCAACTAATTTTTAGAAATGCCTAGATACCTTTGCTCCCTGGTGTTCTGGCTGTGTTGCCCATGTCAGCTTTTTGCACTGTGCTGCGTGCTAACCCCACTGCAGCACACAGCACAGTGCTATTCATGCCCACACTCTCCCTTCTCTCCAACCACAATTAGATCATCTCAAAATATCTGTACTGCTCAGAGGCTCTAGATCTGATGTGAGGGTTCACAGATTAATTTAGCACAACTAGTTTACCTTGGGATTTAAACAAGCTACTATTTTAACAGCCCTGAATCTTTTTGGCTGTCCCTGTGCTGAAGTCTTATGCTTCCCATAGGATCTGTGGGAATAAAAAGTGTATAAAAAGAAAAAGAAGCACAAAACTCTTAGCCTTTCAGCCCTCCATTTCCCTGTGACTTTCAGACAGTTCTGACTTGCACACTGGAGAGACTCAGAGTTATTTTTTTTTATGAGAAACAGATTGAATGCACAGGTTTTCATTGATCTCAGTGCAAGTGAAGTTCACCTCTCTGAAGAATCCCCAAAGAGTTTAACACATGGTGCCAGAAATAGTCAGGACCTTGTACTTGAGTGTGTTTTCTCCTGCACTTCCCATCTCCTCAGCAGGTGGTAGAAAGACTTCTTTATTTTCCCTCATTATGCTTTTCATTGTTGCAAATGGCTTTGACCATTTTAGTCTAACTTCAGCCACCGAAGTGGAGCCCTCAGTTGCCCTTTAATTCTGTACTGAGGGCTGAGTGGGAACAGAAGCTGCTTACATAGTAGTGTGGAAATCCATTCTCTGAGAAGGAATTCTCTGCAGCCTCACGTGGCATTGCCTGTGCACAATCCTCACCAGCACTTATGTGATGCACAAATCTGAGCTGGGCAAGCTGCTTAGCTTGCACCCTGTGCACATCTGAATTTTCATTTTCTCAGAATGTTCCATAGTGAGCATAACAAACCCCTCCCCTGGAGGTGGTGGTGACTCTTGGATGGCTCTGTGTGCCTTGTGTGGCCTGCATGTGCCTGGCTTTTTACTGGTGGCTGGGGACAGCTCAACCCTTGGTGTTGAAGAGCTGCAGCTGTGCAGCTGCACATCTGCGAGATACTCCAGGGAGAAATGGACCACAGTTTGATATTCATAAATAGCCTCTCAAATCCGAGATCTGTGAAAGAAAATGCTGTCAATGCTTCTATTTAAATTTTATCCTTATTTTTACAAAATTATAACAATTATAAAAAATGTCCTATGTTTTCTGTAACAAAAATTGAAGTCCCAGTGGAGTCTGTGGAATTGCATCAAATATGCCAGCAGAGAATTTGGCCTATGAAGAGAAAAGAAGTCTCAATAATGTTATATTCTCAACATGAGTGTTTATTTTTCTTATTGCCAGTACCAAAAGATCATTTTCTCTGTTCAGAACTTGGACTGCAATTTTTACTATCAAGAATATAGCTTCTAAATAGAAAAATAAAGAGTAGACTATGATAATTTACCATAACAATATTACTTGAGCCTTAATTTTCAAGTGAAAACATTACTGAACTAAATTTCAGATAGTGTTTTATTATGTGCAAACCACTGTTGATATAATAACTTCTATTTTAGGTTGCTAGCAAAGAAAAGAACAATGTGACCCATTTAAAAACTGGCTCACAGAAAAATATTAGCAAGCTGTTTATCAATTGTGTTTAATTTTGGTGATAAGAACCTTTTGATAGAAACATTTCTTTGTTACAAAACCAACAGTAGCATAGGATATATTTGACCATAACACACGTGCTTTGCAATGGTACTGAGAAATGGACTTTCTGTTTGTTGCCAATTGTTTGGAAAAGAAAAAAAGGGATAATTCTCACCTTTGAATTTTTCAGCAGATGGAGCCTGATTTTTGAAATCTCTGATTAAGAGAAAATTACTGACATGGCTGGAGTGCTGCAATGGCTGGACACAGCTAGACAAAAGCAATCCAAGAGGCCTCTAGAGTGCATTGGTAGACAGTAATGCAAAAATAATATTACAAAATTATTATTATTAATAATAGTAATATTTCTGTTACAGGTGCCTGAGGAGGTGAAGAGAAGAGATGCTCTGCTGTGGAGTTGCGGTTTTATATGATCTGGGGCGGGGATGCGGCACTCTGCAGATCTGATTTTCACAAAAGGAGAACTGGTTGAGAATCACAGAATCACTAAGTTGGAAGGGACCTTCAAGATCATTGAGTCCAACCCATGCCCCAATACTTCAAGAAGACCATGGCACTGAGTGCCACATCCAACCTTTTTATAAACACATACAGGGATGGTGACTCCACCACCTCCCTGGGCAGACAATTCCAGTACTTTTTCACTCTTTCAGTAAAAAAACTTTTTCCTAATATTCAACTTATATTTCCCTTGCCACAGCTTCAGACTGTGTCCTCTGGTTCTGTCAGCTGCTGCCTGGAGAAAAAGACCAACCCCCACCTGACTGCAACCACCTTTCAGGGAGTTGTAGAGAGTGATAAGGTCACCTTTGAGTCTCCTTTTCTCCAGGCTAAACAATCCCAGCTCCCTCAGTGGTTCCTCACAGAGCTTGTGTTCCAAGCCCCTCACCAGCCTCGTTGCCTCCTCTGGATGTGCTCAAGCATCTCAACCTCCTTCCCAAACTGAGGGACCAGAACTGGACACAGCACTCAGAGTGTGGCCTCACCAGTGCTGAGTATGGGGGGAGAATGACCTCCCTGCTCCTGCTGGCCACACTATTCCTGATACAGACCAGAATGCTGTTGGCCTTCTTGGTCACCAGGGCACACTGCTGGCTCATGTTCAGCTTGCTGTCAACCAGTACCCCTGGGTCCTTTTCCACCTGGGCACTGTCCAGCCACACCATGCCCAGGCTGTAACGCTGCAGAGGATTTTGTGTGGGACTTGGCAGTTGGACTTGTTAAACTTCATCTTAAACTTCATCTTACTGAACTCTGCCCATCTATCCAACCATTCCAGGTCTTTCTGCAGAGCCTCCTAACCACCAACAGATCGACACACACTCCCAACTTAGTATCATCTGCAAATTTACTGATGATAGACTCAACACCCTCATCCATGTCACCAGTAAAAATATTGAACAGAACTGGCCCCAGCATAGACCCCTGAGTGTGAATGCCAGGAGCAGATGGAACTCAGGATCCTGAGAGAAGATAGCAATTTAATAACCCTGGACATCAGGAAAGCAAACAATGGGAACTGCTTGGAAGAATCCCATGTGACACCCTCTTGCAGAAGAGAGGAGGAGTTCAGGAGGGCAGACTGATTTCAAGGATCAGCTCTTCTTGACTCAAGAGCTGTTGATCTCCACCTGCAGAAAGTAAAACATAGGTGGGAGGAGGTCTGAATGGATGAACAGTAAGCTCAAAGGTAAAAAAGTAACATTAAAGAGGTGGAAGTAGTTAGGTGATATGGGAGGAATATAGAGACACTGACCAAGCATGCAGGGATCAGGTTAGCAAAGTCAAAGACTACTTGGGTTTGAATCTAGCTATGGCCGCGAAGGGCAAAAAGGGAGGTTTCTACAGGTACATCATCAGCAAAAGGCAGTCTGGGCAAAATGTTGACCAACTGCTGAACAGGGCAGACCACCTGGTGACAGGGGACACAGAAAAGATCAGTGCGCTTTTCTCATTGGTCTCTATTGATAAAACCAACCTTCAGGGATCTCTGGGATCTCCCTGTGTCCCTAAAAGACATGGAAACCTCTGGAATAAGCAAGAATTGCTATTGTTGGAGAGCAACCAGATTAGGGGCCTTTACACAACTCGAATGAGCACAAGTCAAACTGATGGGATGCAACAACAAGTGCTGAGGGTCCTAATGTCACTGCAAGACATTTCTTGATTTGCCATCAGGGAAGGGTCCTGAGGATTGGAAAAAGCCAGTGTCACTCTTTTCTTCAAGAAGAACCTACACATCAGTTGGAGCAGTGTATGTTATCTTGAGTTTAGCAGGGTTTTTCACACTGGTGGCTGTAACATCCTTCCTGGTAAGTCAGTGATGTACAGACTAGATACTGGGACTGAGTTGGACTGAAAATTGCCTGAACTGCCAAGCTGAAAGGACTATGATCAGCCACACAAATTCACCTGGAGGCCACTCACCAGAGGTGTACACTGGAGATTGATATTGGGGCCAAAAGTGTTTAACATCTTCATAAGATAGCTGGAGCGTGGGACAGAGTGCTTCCTCAGCAAGTTTACATGATAGAAAACTGTAATGAGTAGCTGCTATACCACATGTTTGTGACTGGAGAAACATGCTGACGAAAACATCTTGAAGGTCAAAAAAGGGAAATGCTAAGTCAAAGGAACCCATAGAACTGCAGGTACCTGTAAAAGCTGGGGTCAACCAGCTGAAAAGCAGCTTGAGGACCTTCTGGGCTTCATTGGGAAGAGAGTTGCCAGCAGGTCAAGGAAGGTGATCCTGCCCCTTTACTCAATGCTGTTGTGTCCAAACCTGGAGTTCTGGGTCCTGTTCTGGGCTGTTCAAGGCAAGAGAGATGTTGAACTACTGGAGGGAGTCCAGTGCAGGGCCAAAAAAATGGTTAAGGAACTGGAGTGCCTTCCCTAACAGGAAAGGCTGAGACAGTGAGATAATTGGGGTGATTGAGCCATGAGATAAGGATGCCCAGTGGGGATCTCATCAGGGTGAATAAATACCTGAAGGAGGTTATTGAAAAGGATAGAGTCAGGATCTTTTCAGTGGTGCCTAATGACAGGACAAGAGTCAATGGAGCAAATGAAACACAGGAAATTCCATTTAAACATAAGAAAAACAGTGATTTCTGTGAGAGTAGTTAAACACTGGCATAGGTTTCCCAGAGAGGTGATGGATTCTCCATCCTTAAAGATATTCAAAACCCAATGAGATGTGGCCTTGAAAATCTGCTTTAAGTTGACCCTGCTTTGAGCAGGAGGTTTGGCTTAGTTGGTTTCTAGAGGGGCTTTCCAGTCTCAGCTATTCGGTGAAATTATTGCTTATATAATAAACCAGAAAGTTTGGCTCTGTAGGAAGCCCCATGTCATTGTCTGGATGCAATCATGCTCTTCTGCTGCTGATAAGTCCTGTTAGAAAAAATTAATGTGTAAACCTGCAGGGTATAAGTGCATGTAGGATCCGGACATGCAGGGAGACAGCAGGGACCTTTTGGCACCTGATTTTGGGATAGATGGGAGATGCTTTGCTGCTCCTCACCAGCTGCATTCCCTAGAGGCTGGGCTTTCCCATGGCCAGGTTGGGATCACAGTCAGCATGATGACCTTGGTCTGTCAGCCTGCCAGAGAGCAGGATCGAGCTGCTGGTGGGGAACAGCTGTTTCTGCTGGCATTGAGGCACCTGGGGAGCCCTTCTCTCAAGGAGAGGCTGCAGCTGATTTTTCCAGCCTACTTTCTAGACCTTTTGTGCTGATCTCACAAAGCACAAAGGGAATAGAGCAGGCCTGGGAATATGTGTGAAAAAAGTATCTCCCCCAGCCTTCTATATACTGAAGAGAAGGAGTATGTAACAGCATGACTTCTGTAGCAGTTCCATAGAGATAAAACCACTTTGGAAAGCAGCTTTTTCATTGTTTAGGAAAACTGATTTTCTCCCCGAGTTTGAATTAGATGAAGTGATTTTATTTTCTCTCCAAGCTCCTCTTATTGGTATGATTATTATCAACAATGAATTGTTTTGAACACCAAGAATAAGAAGAAAGCTATACTTTTTTTGTTTTCACATCATCCTTTTACTAGAAAATTTTGGCCTAGATCACTTACTCTGTTTAGGATTAATACTTTCATGAGTCTTATTTTCAATAGCTATGAAGAAAAGACATTTTAAAGCAAATTGAGGTAGGTGATATCTTCTTTAATGCATTTTTAATGCATGAGACATTGTAAAGACCAGAAAAGCACTCTGCAATACAATTTGACAACTAAAAAAAAAAACCTCAGAAACAACCCAATAAAAAAGAAAGTAAGATAGAAACAAGATAACAGAACATATGGGAGAGTGAAAGATACAGCCATGCTATTAGTGTCCAGTTAGCTAATTTTATTGGGATTTCCAATATATGAAAGATGAATATATAAATGATGATAACTGGTGGGGGTATGAAGATGTGATATTAATAAGAATGTAATTCCATAAGAAATTGTCTTGTGATTTATATCTAATAATATTACTGAAATGAGGCTAATGAAGGCAATCAATCCTATATAATACATTTTTGTAAATCTGATTCTCAAAGCATTTCTGATAGAAAGAGGGTAGATTTGGCTTCTTCCAGGAATCCCTGCTGACATGAGAACTCCCATTGAAATCAATTGACAAGCAAACAGGGGAGTAAATAAACCTCTGTGGATGCACTTCTGCTCTGCATTGCTTCTGTGGTCCCTCTCTCATGGCAATGTCCTTAGAGTCACATTTTCTGTAAGAAAACTGCTCCAGTGTGTCTGGAGTGCAGTGTCACATCTTACTGCTCTACTAATGAACTCTGCCTGCTATGAAAGCTGCCTTTGCTCTTGCTGTCTTGGGTACAGATCACAGTCTCTCCAGACCTTTGGGTATCTATTCAATTAGCTGGTCTACACTGCACCCCACACTGCATGTTTTACTGATATTCCACTGAAGGAAGGCAAACTTAATTGTATTTACCTGTTCTGTGTGAACACTTCAGACTGTAGTGCATATTTCTCCACCCCAGCCTCCCTTTCTCTAAGCAATTGAAATTAGCTTCAGTTGGGTTTAGCAGATCCCTGAAAACATAGATACTTATTTCCCTCTTTGTCCTCTTCCTTGTCTGTTTCATTACCCATTTTCCTTGGAAAGGACAATGTAATTTATAATATGTATCTTTATAGCATTTGGAAGAACACCTATTTCTTCAGAGAAATATAATAGGATAGATTTAAAACCACAGAACTCTGGGACTACTTTGCTTGAAGTACAGACTCATAGTTCTCCTTACAGGGGGATATCTACAGTGAAATTACTAATCTTGTGAATAATTTTGTGGATGTTAAAAGATGACCTCTGTTCTGGGTAGATTGTGAAGAGAAGCTCCCACACATTTATCTCCTCATGCCCAACACCTTTCTCTTCAGGATTCTGGAAATGGACAGTCTAGCAGAGATTTCTGTCTCTGTCACCATGCTAATTTAAGTCAATGGCAATAACCTTTCTGATGTCAGTGAGGCAGGATAACATCTTGTGTAAATAGCCAATGCTCACATCTTTCCTCATCTCAAGAACCTTGCTGACATCTAACTTAACACCTTACATATCCACCTCTCTCAAATACTTAAGTAAGCACAAATATGTGACAGCAAGGAGGTATAATGGTGAAGAAAAGGATGTGAATGTAAGGTTGGATTAAAGGTATAGTGCTATAGGCAAGATTATATCATCTATTTTACTGTGCAAGTTTTTTTCTATATCTCAGTCCAAGCAGCTGTTGAGCAAGCAGTATGAAGCACAGGAGATTAGGGGCAAAAATATATTTGAACCATCAGATACTTGGAAAAACTGTAGTCTTATCTGAGCTTGGAGAGAAGAACCTGAGAAATTACATGGAGTGGGAGAAACACCAAGGGAATTGTTACTGGTTTAAAAAGAAAAACAGTTGATTATATTTTGTCAGAAAATGAAAGATTTTAGTCCTGACTGTTTTTTTGTGTTTGAGGTTACTTATTAAAACCACTCAGCACAAAGCAGATTCTGGCACTGTTGTGCTGTCATCACTGTAAATTCATTAATGTTTCACTGAACTGTTCTAATGCCATTAGACTGCCCCAATGTCACATGTGTTATGTCTATGAATGGTCTCTTTGTCTCCCTGTATAGCAAGGAAGGTGAAAGGCACTGGAATTGAACTCATTCTTCAAGACGAGAATCTTTGCAATCATAAGTAAAGGAAGTCCCTTCAGCTTAACATTTCATTGCCTCCTTTCTCATTTAAAAACAGATGTCAGCACAAGGAGAAGACAGGTGCAGAGTGCCTCTTTCAGCTCCTTTTGAAGGAAAGCAGGAAGTGAATAAGTCACAGAGAGCTGTGCTGTTTGGATCTTTAGAATGCATTTATAACTTCTAGATATGTTCCTGCTAATGAGGGTGTGAGATGCCAGCTCTTTGGAAGTTAGAGCATGCACTGTTGCACTCTCATCAACTCTGATGGATGCACTGTATATGGGAATATAATTTAAACATGAGGATATGAGTAATGATTTATTAAGTTACCACAGAAAGCACTTAAGAAAAAAATGCCTAATACTAGAAAAAATGTCTAGCATATTTGAATGCTATATAAACAACAAAATTTGTTATAAACTGGAAACCTCCAAATGGATGCTCTTCATATACTGCAGCACTGTCTGAAACTGCATATAAATACCCTGAATAGTAGCAGTAAAATATTACAATTTACAACAGCCAGACTCATGAATCTAATGAAGGCCACAAAGTGATTGCTGTCAATCATATTATTACTGTTAAAGCCAGCAGCAATATCTGAGAGCTATACTATGTTTGGGTGTGTGGTGAGGATCTGACTACTGCCATTTTCTTCCTTAGGCAATCCAACATCCACACAAAATAGTGTCCTTTTTTAATGGGGGCAAGATCAGATACGATATGATCCATGGTCTCAACAAGATTCCAGACTGAGGTGAGCAGAAAAGAATAAACAGCACTATAGCATCTCTCTCCTCTCTTTCCACTTCCATCAGGTTTGATGTGGGTGGAAATACACTATTCTTTGTAGAGAGCTGGCACAATTTGCCCTCATTAGCAGAGCATGCCCACTTTTTTTTGCCTCTCTTGCTGTACCTCATTTAAAACACCACACTGCAGGGATTTTGCAGCGTCTGGGATTTTGACTATGAAAGGAGAAGTTTACAAGAAAAATGCCTTCAGCTTCCTGGGCTTGATGCACTGCATTGTCTGGCATGGATTTCACTTTCCCCGTGACACTGCCACGGAACAACTTGCTTTGATGCCCTATGCTAGCAAACAAGTTCTGTGATAAACAAGCTTTTAATCCTGTATTTCCACACTTTTGCTAAGCAAGTCACAACTTGACAAAGCTGCATGTTAATGACTGTGCCAAAAGCTCAGCCCTGAACAGAGATGGTAAAAGAGGGTAGGAGAGAAAGTGCTCACAGGAAGTACGCAGAAGAATTGTACTTTAGAAGCTTTGTCAGTGCTTTGATTTAGTGCCATTAGTCCTACTGCAGCAGGCCATCTAATAAGTGCTAGTGTAGACAGTCCAGGAAAACTCCCAAGAAGCCATAAATGATGTTTGTGACCTGAAAAGTATCTTCTGCCTCCCTGAATTCTAAGGAGGGATCTGCCAAAGCAAGAAACGTGCCGGGACTCATGAGGAGCCTGCCCTTTCATGTGATAAGGTCTCTATGGAAAGAACTGTAGTGTAATCAAAGTACATAAGTAGCCAAATATCAGCATCAGGTTTTCAGGAAAAAGTCCTGCTTGCCCCTTCCATATGACACCAGTCCACATGTGTCGCAGTGAACAGCTGGTGAAGAGCCATCTTCTGCAGGGAATACCCAGCACTAAAATGTATGTTAACATACACAAGGCAGAGTTTTCATGTCAAAATTAGCAGTTTGGGAAGCAGCACAAGAATATAAGTTGCAGAGGACCTTTTCTGCTCACCTGGAAGTTGTCAGGAAGTTGCCTGAAATCTTCACAATGTCCTGAAGTATTCCACTGTCTCCTGGTGCTACTCCTCTGCTCCCTTTTCAGATGAAGAGAGGCTGAGCTTATCTGCTTTGCAGATGCAGATACAACAAAGCACACTACGCTACGAACTAACTCCCTTCCTGTGAAACAAACATTAGGAAGCAGCTGAAGAGATATTCAAGACTCCTGTGTTTCAATATAAACCAGAAAATGTGTTTTCAGATTCTTAAGCAGGAGGGCGCAGACAGTAATACAAAATCTAATCACAAGAATAAAAAGTCTGATATCAAACTCTTCTTTTTAGTGAAGAAGTCTTCTCTGATGCTTCCCCCCTGCCCTTTTAATACAAAACTGAAGTACACAGATGCATTGTAGAACATCGATAAAACATTAGAGCTACTGCATGGCTCTAAATTATTGCACAGAAATCTGGAGCATTTTTAGAAAATATTTCATATTCAGTATGGGAAAGTAATTTTATTTTTAATGGTAGCTGTTTGAAGTTGTTCAGCAGCTTGGAAAGTTACCAGTTCCTTTTCATTTCTGAATATGAACATTTCTGTGTCTGTGTAAGATCCCAATTTTTTGAGGCTGTGGTTCTTTTTACCACACATCTAATCTGAGCCAAATATTATAATATTTTTGATAGTATTATCACCCTGGAAGAATACTAATTCAGGAAATCAGTGTTCAGTGTTGCTGTGCAAAACATTTAAATTAGAACAAAATCAGTTGCTTTTTCCTAGCTAGCTACATGACACATGATTAATGATTGGTAAAATATAAATCTGAATGGAAATACCTCCTCTTCCAAGGTTCCAATTGATCAGTTTTGAATTGCCAGACTGAGGATGTGAGCTAAGAGCCTCTTTGGCAGCATTGCAGTGACACACTGCCTGTCATGTACTGTCTGCTCCCCTTTTAAGTACTTGTTCCTTCCTAATTATTATCTGCAGTTGGCCACTGGACTTTGAAACTGCAAACTGCTTTCCATATCTTTTGTTTCCTGCTGTATATACATTGAAATCACACGGTTTGTTATCTGTCACTAAGATTACAAGCAGCATTACTTAAAAGGAAAAAAGTAGAAAAAAAATCAATGAAAATAGGGAGCTCTCTACTGACTATAAAATATGACACATCTCTGTAACCAAAATTAGAGCAACCGGACTTAGAATCTAGTTCTGACTCAGTGGTAAATAGAAAAAAAATTAGTAGAAGTAAGGAGAAAAAGACTAAAGAAATATTGATATGTAGTAGAAATTTCAGGCTATAAAAATATTGATGTACACTTCAAGAAAAATCAATAACCATGTTTCACACAAATTTGTGAATTTTTAAACTACATTAATTAGAGAAGACACTAAGTCATTACTGGCTAAGACTGCATTTTTTGATGGTGATAAAGAGAAAAAATATTCATAAAACTTTTAGGGGTTATATTTTTGGGGAGGCGTCTGATCTGCTTACATCATGAGAGGTTAAAGAATTTCTCATTTTATTAATAACTACGTGGCTATATGCAATAACATGAAATCTGATTTAAATGTATGTACCTATATGGGTACATACCAGGTTCTCACAGAAGTCTGGGGTTTTACAAAAACTGGCTGAACAGATCCTCAGTCTGCTGTGTAAATGTTTAACAAATACAGGAAAATGTTGTAAGTCATTAATAATGTTAGCATTATGCAAATATTAAAGAAAAAACAAAAATGAGATAATTTAGGTAATTACTCTCAGGTTTGACAAAAGTTGCAGGAAAAGTACAAACGATATGGGACTAGAGTTATATAAACTTGATGTAGAGGACTAATGCTAGAGACAATAGTTTTACTAGAAGTGTGTCTTGTCAAAGAAACCTATAATGAGATAACAGATTTGTTGAGGCATACGATTTAATAATGTATGAGATACTGATTAAAAAGAAAGACTAGGGCTCATTCAAATGAATGGCATTTTAGGTCAACAAAATGTAAAATGATAATGCAGTCTGTGTCCATATTCTGTAGACTGGTGACTGGATATCCTGATTCACAAAGAGGATTTAATGTTTATACTAAATCACAACAAACAAGAGAGCCAATATTTGATTCAACTGCAAAAAAAGACTAATGTGAATCTTAAATGTGCAAATAAAAAAGAAATGAGAACATAGATGTAAAACAAGACCTACTCAGGAGAATTCTAGTGTCTGTATTTTTAATGTAGAAAATGGGAAAATGTGCAGAAAAAAGCTAAACCCAAGATATCTTGGTCTTAACCCTCTAGTAAGTGTTAATGAGCTTCTTTTGTTTAAACCTCACAGAGGTGATGGGACTAACACAGGTGAGTACATTAGAGAGCAACACAAAGCAATAAAGGCTTTTCTGTCAAGGCAAACAAGCATAACATGAAACAGAGTCTCAGAGTTAATGCCAGAAAACTTCAAATTTGAATTGAATACCCATTAATTAACACTGAAAGAGATTAACCACTGGAATGAGCTCTCAAAGTAATGAGTTCTTCATGTCTTGATGTCTTCAGGACAGGCATTTCTGAAAAATGTGCTGTGACTAAACACAAATTAATATTTATTGATAGCCAAATAATTAACTTAATACATGAGTAATAACTTGTGATATGGGAAGAAGATTATGCTCTGAATGTACAATTTCATAGCTTTTCCAAAACAGGGCACATGAGCACTCTGCCAGCTATGGATGTTGGCACATTGATAAGTGAAACTTAGTCGAATGAATGATGAACTGACACTCCTTTCACCATCATTTTACAGACTCAAATATGTTGTTATCTCCTTGTCACTTCATGCTGATCAGTGCTTCCTCTTTCTCACAAGCTTCCCAGCTGAAAAGCCAACACCTGTAAGCCAACACCTGCTTGAGCTCTTCTAGTGAAAAAATGATCAAGCCCATTATTTAGCTCATCCTCTCCTTTTATTTTAAACTGTAGAAGGTATTATATCTTTCCCTGATTCAGTGCTTCTCTTTTAAACATTTAATTTTCAAGTGGTGGATTTAACATCTATCAGTTCCACTGACAAAGAGCCACTCCTTTTCAATAGCTATTAGATGAAATTCATAATTCTTCAAGAATCTCATATAATGTTAAAGATCTGAAATTATTACAGCTAGGTAAATACATATTTATCATCTCCTTATTGCAGATTTCCCCCCTGAGCTTCCCATCTTGTTCCTTTAGTTTGCACCTGGGTGTATCATTAGTTTTGCTTCCTTCCTAAAGAAATAAAGAAATAGGAATTTTGCCATGTCAGGGCCCTTGATTATAATTTGCATTCTGTGTTTCAGAGACATCTTATTTCATCCTTTAACTGCGCTTTCCTTTTAGGCCAGTAGCAGAAAAAAATCTCACTTCCCTTCTAGTCTTCTGTTGTCTTCAGGAATTCACTACTTTTGTGCTTATTTTGCTTCATCAGTAATTCCTATTGTATCTACAATTTCTTGTAATTATTTACACATTTTTTTTCCCCCAGGGCTAGATCTTTTTAGGGAAAGGAAATGCTCCAGCAGACTACATAGATTACTCTCTAAATTTTTTTGTGTGCCCTAAAATACACTGTACTTTATTATTATTTCTTCTGTTCCTTTTTGTTGGTAGTATTTTCAGTCCTTAAAAATGACTTCCTATTACTTGTTTTTTCTTTAAAAAGCTTGACACTATTCCCCTGTAGTTTTAATGTCCTCAAGCTGTATGTCTAAATTTTCATGGGCAGCCATAATAGTCCTGTTTTACACATTTGAACACTGTGAGAATACACACCAATTATACCCATAGATTTGTGGGTATAATTATGCATGTAAAAGTTTTGTAACTATACTGTAGAAAAATGTCTGTACATACTTGCATATCAGTATGTTGATGTTTAAATTCCCCACCCAAACCATGCATATTGTGAAGTGAAACATGTGAAGTGTGTTTCTAATAGTCTAATGGGATAGACTGCTGTCCTATTAGCTGGCAAAACCATGAAGCACAAATTTACACTTACAGACCATAAAAACAAACAAGGCCATGGAAACCACCCTTTGGTGTAGATGTAAAGGGAAATTGGGATTCAAGCTGACATATTTTTGCAATGTTTGCAGAATGGCATTTGCCAATGTAAACCTGACTTGCAAAGATACAGTGTCTTTCACTGTGAAGGGTTTATTTTTGCTATAAATGGCCTCTTTATTGGAAATAGTCTCCTTTTACCTTTTCATCTTGGACTGTTTGAACTACCTAACCAAATTTTCCGTTCTGTAATGCATTACCACAGATGAGGAAAATAAAAATAGGCAAATATTATAATTCCAGAAATACTGGAATATTATTCCTTCTAATGAACTAGTTCCTTTTAATATGTGCAGAGAGATTTTTGGTATTGGTACATAAAAGCTTGTGCTTTAAAGTTTAAATGCAGAAACTCTGTGCTTACACTTCTAAACTTGGAAAAGAATTCATGTTCTTTGAGAGTGTAATCTGGCATGAAATAAAGATAGAAACAAGACCACGTGGTGGATATTTGCTGCTCAACCTCATAGTCAACACAGGAAGAAATATAGGAAGCCCTATTTACTGGAAAAACTAGATGCTTCAGGTCCCTTCAGCTGCCTTGCTGTATGGACAAGGCCTTTTCTTTCAGGACACCTTGGCAAGAACAGAGATCTGGCTTGCAGAAGCATAAATAGACTCTAAATTACCCCAAATGGAATGCTCTAATATGCCATAAAACAATTCCCTCCTTATCAAAATATTAAATCCTGCATGCTCTCACCTACTGTATGTTGGCAGCAACATAATAAAGAAAAAAGTGGATAATACAGGAAATATTATCATCCCAGAGTCTGAATTTCTCATCCCTTGCACCAAGGAAATAACTGTCAGTTCTGTGGTTGCAAAGAATCATGCAGGTAGGAATGCACAGTCTAAAATAACTTGTATATAATTCTGCTTTTCTTTTTTCCTATAGATTTCTCAGTAATCTGTACAGTTCTCTGCACTGGACTCCACCTTTTCAGAATGATGAAAGCAGTAAGTAAAGTTGTGGACATATAACTTTTAAAAAAAATGTTGCTAGTCATTAATGAGAATTGTCGCATACAAATTTTTCAGCATTCAGATGGTGAATATTGGTTCAGACCCACTTTTCCTAGTATATACCTTTAAAGGTGTTTGGGGAAGATGTGTTTTCTGAAAAAAGAAAAAAACAATGTAGAACAAAAAATAATATCTAGATATAGAAAACAGAAGAATAGTTGCTTGGTATCTCACCAGGATTACGTATTATTCTAACCATGTTTCAAAATGCCATTTCTTGTTTGACAAAAGGAATGTCAGAGACTACACTGCTTCTGAACTACTGTTGTGTGAGTTCAAAGAGGAACTATTAAGCCCTGGATCTGTGCCTGAGCTTTTTATTCCTGGTACTATCAAAGGCTGTGATCATTAATCCCAGTTAAACAAGAAGTCAGCATGTTCCACAGAATGAAAGGGTGAACCAGGATTCAGGAGAGAGATCTCTTGCTCCCGCTTCTGTTGATGAGGTGTTATGTCACTTATGAAGTTCATGTTGGCTGAGCTTCTTCTACTTTTTGCTCAACGATTTAATATTAGCTTGGGGGCCATAACTATATATGTCTAGATTTTTCAGTGTGTTGAGCCAATGTGGCAAACATCATGGGTAATGAACTTTTGCAGAATAAAGTGTGCATTTAGATGTATTATAGTTATATATTTAGTATATTTTCATTGTAAATTCAACTATTGGGAGCTTATACACAAATAATTTTACACTTGCATTATTAAAGGAGGTAAAATCCCACTGATTTTGAACAAATCTTAGCTCATGCCACTATCTCCATCTGATTGTTTCAGCCCTTTTATTTGAAGCTGGGTCCATAAATGAATGAGTTGGTTTGTGCAGAAGCCAATATCCACATTATTCTTTATCCATTTTTGTAAGGTCACTATTCACATTTATCACTGGAGTTTAATATGAGGGCTCAGTCCCGTGCTCCATTTCCTTATGGAGAAGCGACTTCTTTTGTTACTTACATACTTCACCATTAAAGAAATCCCAGGAATCTTCAGTGGAATTTAATCTTTTTATTCTCTAATCTATGCTTGACAGATACTAAGGAAGAAACAGAATATTTGCACAAAAACTACTCAGCAGACATATGGGAATAAAGATATGTCAACTATTCAGCAAGGATTTACCTGCTATGCCTAATTTTGCAGAGGAATATGGAAAGAATTGAAAGGTTAAAAGGAAGGGCAAGAAATATATGGCAAAGCCATGAAAAGTATTTATTGCAAGACAGGAACTCACAGGTATGATAGAGTTGCACCTCATAAGCATGTAATTCTAGAACAGACATCCCACAGGAAGGTTACTGCAGGAAAAGACTTAATAGAGAATATGAATGAATGAAATACTGTATTTCAAGGACTAAGGGAATGAACCCAGCCTCCTAGGACTATTTGGTTTGTTTCCAAAATATAAGACTCCCTTTTTAGAAGAAAATGAATTTCCAGTCAGATGGACCAGAGTTTTTGGTGATGTTTGTTTTTTCCCCATGTGGTTGAACAATGATTCAAAGGATTCTACATTAATAGAAGCAGCTGGTGTGTGTTTTAGAAGTGAGTAGATTATAAAACTTAACAACTTAATAAAGCCAGTTGGCTATGTGAGATGGGTATGCATATACAACATGATACCTTATGTGACTAAAATGCATGTTAAAAATATCTGAGTTTTCTCTTTGTACTGTTGTCAGGTGCTCAATATATGAAAAATGTCTGTTTGGGTTTTTTTCCTCAGTAAACTGCACCATCTTGTAATTTGGGTAGGATGATACTGCAGAAGGAAATCTGTGTTTCTTCTCTGCTCTTGAAAAATCCCAACCCAGTAAATTCCACTTCTTTTGCCCTATTTTCTTTTCACCTTGCATGCAGCTCATGAACCAGTACTCTCTTGCTTCATTAATGAAGTTTCATCTCAGTCCTTCTTTTTTCATCTCACACTTACACTGATGATCATTTCTGCTCCCCTGTCAGTGTTGCACAGGAATCACAGGTACTCTGCTGAGTTGAGGATCACTGAAGCACAACGAGCTTCACACTGAGATCAAACCTTGTGGATCAACAGCACAGGATCAAGATGTTATCATCTTGGGATACCAGAATTCAAGGAGGTCTGGTCACTGACTTTAAGTGACTAGGATGGTAAGCAAAGGGCACTTCTTACCATTATAGCAATGCTATTTGACTGCCTCTGTTACCTTTTCTGATTGCTGTCAGGGATTGCAGACTGCCAGTACTACATTCCCGTTTCCCTTCCTGTCACTGATGCAAGTTTTTGGGCCACTGCCTAGAAGAGATCTCTATAACAGAGGTCCCTTCTGTCCTTTTTTCCCCTGACAGAATGAATATTCTCTAGTTCCATACACGGCTGTTTTCAAAGGAGAATGTGGAGTCCTTTCATAACCTTGAACTGAGGCATCTTCATCTTGGGGAGAGAGTTTCCTCAAACCCTTCATTTTTGAATAATTTGCAGTAGAAATTGATGCCACACTTCTCCCTTTAGGACAGAAAGGGCAGAAGTGGGATCCCTTCCTTATTTGATAGCTTTCTTATCCTCACTGAGGGTTTCTGTTCCTCCACAGAAGGGACACAGTGCTCAGTAGTGAGGAGTAAACACAGATTCACAGAATGGCTGATGTTGGAAGGAACTTCTGGGCATCATCTTGTTCAAATCCCCTGCTCAAGCAGGGCTGCCCACAACAAGGACTGTGTTCACATTAATACCTTCATGGATGGAGACTCCCCAACCTCCTGGGGCAGCCTGTGCCAGGGCTTAGTCATTCTCACAGTAAAAATTGTTTCCTGATGTTCAAAAAAATCTGTGTTTCAATTTGTGCCCATAACCACTGGTCATGTTACTGGGCCCCACGGAGAGGAGCCTGGCTTTACCCTCTTTGCATTTTCCCTTCAGCTATTTGTGAGATCCCCAAGCCTGCCTGTTTCTCAGCTGAACAGTCCCAGATCTTTCAGCCTTTCCTCATGGAAGGGATGGTCCAGCACCTAAACCATGGTCATGACCATTTGTTGGACTCTCTCCAGTATGTTCACGTCTCTGTACTGGAGCAGCCCAGATCTGAACCGAGCACCCCAGGTGTGTCCTCACCCGTGCTGAGCAGAGGAGCAGGATCACCTCCCTCGACTTGTTGGAATCGCTTTGCCTAATGCAGCCCAAGGTATCATTCTTCTTTGTGGCAAGGGCACACTGCTAGCTCATGTCTAACTTGATGCTCACCAGGACCCAGAGTGGGTGGGACTCACTCACCCAATGCCAAACTGCATTCCAGTCAGGTAGTTCCCCACCTGTCCCGGCGTCTGGATTGTTCCTCCCCAGTGGCCGGGCTTTGCCCTTCGCCTTGTTGAAGTTGCTCTCCCGGGGTGCCGCTGGGTGCACAGCGCTCCTGTGCCCAGCTAGAGGGGCAGCGGGAGCTGCGGAGACACCCAACCCCCCGGGCTAGGGAGGGCTGCGGAGGACGGCGAGGAGGACGCAGGGAGGCTCAGGAGCAGCGTCCCGCCGGGGACGCCCGCTGCCGCCTCACCTCCCTGTCGCCGCGCCGCCGGGACAGCGCCCGGCTCCCGGGGCTCCCGGTGGCCGCCCCCGGCCCTGCCCCTGCCCCGGGGGCGGAGTGCGGGAGCTCCAGGCGCGCAGCGAGCGCCGCCAGCCCGGCTCGCCCCGCACACGCTCGCACTCGGCGCAGCCCGCCCATGGCTGACAGGAGCCTGATCGAGGGCGCCGAGCCCCGGCCGCGCCGCGAGGAGGCTCCGGAGTGGGGCTACGAGGAAGGTGAGGAGCGGGCGGCGACTCCGCCGGGGAGAAACTTTGTCCGCTGCCGGGGGAGGAGGAGGCGGTGTGGGGATTTCAGCGGCGGAGCACGGAGCGCAGCGGGGCTCGCTCCCAGGCCGTCCCGCAGCAGGTCCATCCCCGCGGGCGGAGGCAGCGCGGGGCGGCGGCCGCGGAGCCGCCGGTCCGGCCGAGCAGCCCCGGGGGCAGGCGGGGTCTGTCTGACCGCAGCCGGGGCGCCGGCTGCCCCGTGACCGCTTTTCTCTTGTGCCTCAGGAGTGGAGTGGGGGCTGATTTTCCCCGATGCTAACGGCGAGTACCAGTCGCCCATTAACTTGAACTCGAGAGAAGCCAAATATGACCCCTCGCTCCTGGAAGTGCGTTTGTCACCGAACTACGTGGTGTGTCGTGACTGCGAAGTGATCAACGACGGGCATTCGATTCAAATTGCCCTGAAGTCAAAATCAGGTATGCTGAAACATGGCCTTAATTTTCCCGGCTAAAACTTGTGTTGCCCGAAGACTCACTGTACTCATGTCCTGGAGTTTAGGAAAAGCAGCCTTTTCCAACTGAGAGCAGTTGTGCCCATTCAGCATGGACTATGCTCAGTGAGAGTGTTGCTGTTGACTTTGGTAGGAAGGGGAGCAAGTGTTGCAGATTTCGATGCCAGACTGGATGGTCAGTGAGATTGCTTCAAAGCACGTCCAGAATTTCTTCCTGGAGTGGTGGTATCCAATTCACTGGCATTAACATCTGTCTGCACTCAGAAGCAGTACAGACTACCGCTACAGTGTAGTGCCAAACTGTTCCATACAGCTGGCAAGATTTGTTCATGGTTCAAAGACCATGTAAGTTAAAAGTGCTTTTTCTCATTAACTTGAGTGGGTTCTGAATACTACCTCCAGAACTGGACAGCTTAAGATAGATACACCAGTTATACATGCTCACAATATTGATGAGGACCAAGTAGAATGCAGTCCTCATTTCTTAAAGGATGACATTTTTGGTGTCACTCATCAAATATGATTTAAAATAAAATAATAAAAGAAACAATTCCAACATGAATGAAATTGCTATATCTTATCCAGACTTTTCATCTGGGTAAATTATTCTCTATGAAGGAGACAAGAAAGTAGGGAGGAAAAAGTCAATTTTTCTTTCCAGCACTGCAGCAGTTCTTACCATGTGTTTGGAAGAGCCTCTATGTTATTCTAACCAGTCTTAGCTAGTAACAGCCCTTTGGGGGCATTTAAACAGCTGAACATTGTCAAACCATGAGACATTCCAACTTCTTGTTTCCTTCTGAGAAGTCGGTAGTACTGGGAACTACAGCTGTGCTAAGTGAGGGAGCCAGTTCAGTTTCACACAGTTTTTTAAAAAGGAGAGGTCTGTTATCTCAGAAATAATTATTTCCTTTATAATTTCCTTTCTATGATAATTTCCATGCATTTTTGCAACACAGAAAGTTTCTTTACATGGAATTTTGCAGATTTGCAATAAAAGAAATGTTGCACTTCCCATCAGTTTTACTGCCTTCATCAGAAGCGGAGCTCTTTTCCCAAGGGATAAGGTTCTCCTTGCAGGATCAGGAGTTCTTGAATTCTTCTGTGGAGGAAGTGAGAGTGACCACAAGTACCTCATCATTCACATCCCAAAATGCAACTCAGTCCATCCTACCTTTCCCAAGGGCAGTTTCTAGCTTAGTAGTGATAATTAATAAGATGGGATCAACACACCTTTGCAAAACCATTAAGAAAATTAGAAAAAAGGAAAGACTTCTTTTACACTTTAATGCAATGTGATGCCAGACAGATGTCTCTTGAATTATAAGAAAATGTGAAATAGAGAAAAAGTTTATGACAGACGTATGGAATTATGATTTAGGAACTCTTGGTTTAGTTTCAGCTTTTCCTTAAATATAATGTTACGTAGTTTCCCTTTTTTCCTTTGTAAACTGGGAATAATTTGGGAGGGAGAAGATGGCATTTATTAAACCTACCAAGAGGAGAAAAGAGTTAATAAGCTCTGATTGAACCTGGCCTAGTATTCTGGCCATTTTTCAGGGACTGCAGAAACTCCTACAGTTTCTTTTCCTCGCAGGAGATCTCTGATGACATATCCATTTAGTCAGATTATTTTGTTGGGAACTATTGAGCACTGGATGCTTTTGAAACTCTGTCCAATTAATGTGCAAGAGATCCTCATCTACTGTAATGCTAGCAGTCAAAGAAAAAGTTCTTTATGGAAAAACATAAACTGATTAAGATACATATTAAAAATAAATTTGTCA